CCAGATTGCCATGTCTGTCAGGTGCGCTTATCCTGTGTTGGGATCTCTCCTGCCCTGCCTTACTGTGTTTGTGCTAGACCTGCTTTCCTCCTGGAATCAAGCTTGTGGAAATTGGCTTCAAAGAACCAGCTTTTGGATTTATTTGCCTTTCACTTTGGTTTTTTTCTTTATTCATTTCTCCTCGTTTTTTTTTTTTTTGAGTGAGCTGGGGTTTCCTACTCCAGTAAAAAGTTACAATCTTGAAAACCCTCAGAGGTGCTGAGTCGGCATCAACCCAATGACAGTGAGTTTTTGTGTTCTTTCAAGTTGTTTTGTTCATGTTCTAATGCCAACTTTTTACACTTTCAGTGTTCTGTGATTGTGAAGCTCTGTAAACCCCAAAATCTGATGAGCCCGGCTTTGCTGGGTGCTGTAGGTCGGCATTTGTGTGGCTCTTGCTCTCTGGGTAGCTGGGGTGCACCTTTGTTACCCACTTGCTCCCAGGGCTTTCCTGGGATTTTCCAAACAATTGAGGATATTTTATCTTCTGCTGCTTCTAATTTTATTAACTTATTATTTAAGAGCTCTGACTGTTGTTAGGAGCTGTCGAGTCAGTTCCGACTCATAGCGACCTTAACAGAAGGAAACACTGCCTGGTCTTGCTCATCCTCACCATTGTTCCTGTGCCTGAGCCCATTGTCACTGTCAGTCCAGCTCCTGGAGGGCCTTCCGCTCCTTTGCTGCCCTGCTACTTTACCAAGCATGATGCCCTTGTCCAGGGACTGGTCTCTCCTGACATGTCTAAAGTATGTAAGACAAGTCTTGCCATCCTTGCCTCTAAGGCGCTCCCTGGCCATGTGTCGTCCTCCTTTGAGCGTCCACGGTGCTTGCAGTGTTCTTCCCCAGCTCGGATATACGTATCCATTCTTCTCAGCTCTTCTTCACTGGCCGTCCTTCACGTGCAGATGCGGAAGTTCAATTTCGTTTGTGTTCTCTTTATGGCGTGAATGAGCCAGGGTTTTCCAGAGAAGCCGAGCCAGCAGCTAGGTGGGTGGGTAGATGGACGGATAGCATGGCTGGCTTTGACGATCTGGGACCTGTGGTTGTGGGACTGCACATCTGAAATCTTCTGGGCCGACTGGATTTCTGTGTCAGTCTGGAGAGTTTGCTCTTAAGACTTGGAACTGATTGGCAAGACCCACCTACGTTATTTTGAATGCAGTTTCCTTAAAATCAGCTGATTGTAAGTGCTAATTGCATCTATGAAACACTGTGATAGCTACATTTGGACTTCCGTCTGACCAATTAGCTGGTAATTGGGCCCAGTTGCATGCCAGGTCTGCGCTATTCTTTCACCTTGTAAAAAACGCCCTTGCTTTCCTTTCTTCTGTGGTCTTAGGATTTCCTGGGTGGCTCACTGTCTCAGCTGTAGCACTCAGTCCTCAGCTCCGGGCAGTGTGCTGATGGGCTCTCCAGCTCTAAGAGATTGTGCTAGCGCCTTGCAAGAGGATGGCACTGGCGCCAAGTTTGCCCATATCCTTCAAGGCCTTTGCTTTGTGCATGTCTCCGCCCGCTGTGGGGACTTGTCCCGGTGGTGGGTGTTATATTGGAGCAGTCTGTCTCTTTATAAATCGTTCCCTGGGCCATCATCACATAATGTCCCTTTTGTGCTTTGTCATTGTCACCCTAACCCACCCCCCGGTTGACAATCTCCTTGTCCTCTCCTCCCTTCCTGCCTTCAGCCTTCATCCCTACTTTACCTGGATGTCCTCCACCTGGCACATAGCTGGGTGTGTGGGGGTTGCAACAAGGCCCATCTCTGACAGAGAGCACTTGGCTCCTCCCCTTGGGGGCTGGTCATCCTGATCTGAAGACTCTACAGTAGTCATGGAGCCTGGTCATGGTTTATAGTTTCTCACATTGATTGATTGATTGGAACCCTGTTGGTGCAATGGTTAAGTGCTGGATTGCTAAACATGATGCTAGCGATTCCAGTCCACAGCCGCTCCACGGGAGAAACCTGTAGTGTTACTATGAGTCAGGAGGGGAGAGCACTGGGTTTGGTTTTGGGGGGAGATTTCTTGTTCCCTCTCCCAGGTTTTTGTTGGTTTTGATTAAAATACCTTTTTCCCTCTCCTTAATCTGGACATTCCATTGGGATTTTTCCTTTTCTTTCATCATCACACATTTGTCTATTGTTTAGAAACAAGTTATCAACTACTTCATCTGGCACCACCACCTCCTCCTCTCCCTTTAGAAAGCTGGCCTCTCCACCCTCCTTCCTGCTTTGTTCCTGTGCCAGAGGCTTCTCCAAGGTCACCTCCATCTCTCCTTGGGCCTACCATTATCATTCCACTTCTGTCTTGACTCCAGGACTTGGTGGGGTGACTTGGAGAGTCTGGGTCTAGTCTCACTGGAAGTTCTTCCTGGAGCTCCAAGGGTTTCCCTGCTCTGCCATTGCAGAAACACTTTAAGGACTCTGTGTCTGTGCATCATGTGCCCTTCCCCTCCGACCACTACAGAGGCACCCAGAGCCAGGGGATGGCATAGACCGGGGTCGGGTATCTTTTCATTGAAAGGGGCCAGGGGCTCGGAGTCAGCAGTGCTTGGTTTCGCCTGCAGGGGAATGGGGTGGGAAGAGGTGACAGGGCCTTGCTAATGTGCGGCAGTGTGACTGTAGTTCTGTTTGTTGGCCTGGTCACCCAGATCCACCCGTCCTGAACGTGTGCATACAAATGTGTGTGTGTTTTCCAACAGGTTGACGAAGCTTCGCACAAGATGTCTAAGGTGAGAGCCACACTCGGTAGGGCTGCAGTGGAAGAGCACCTGTGGGAGTTTCACACGGTTTACGGTCAAGATTCCAGTGCCCGAGTGCCATGCTTCGTTGTATTGGGACAATGAATGCATTTGAGACCTTGGGACCAGAGGACATGGAGTGGACTTGTCATTCAGGAATCTCTCTCTGTGTCCCCGTGTCTGGTTCCTCAGTACACCAGGAAAACCCTTTTAAGCCACTTAGATATGGATTAAAATCCGTATGATGAGTGTGGGATTGGGTTTATGATGGCCCACCCCCAGGCCAGAGCAGACTAGCCCCGAACCGTTGCCCAGCAGCTGTGCCCACGGGCTGAAGGCATTCAGGCGCATTACTGCACAATGGAAAAAGGCCAAAGAGAGTTCTGATATGTCTTATGACAAAAGTGACAGACTCAGATTCTGTAAATTGGCCTGGACCCACCTTTGCAAATGGGCGCTGAGCCCTGAGAACGTGGAGGCAAGCTGAGTGCAGAGTCCAGTGAAAGGGTGGGATGGTGCTGGCTCTGCTTTGCCCTTGATCTTGTGAGTTGCTGAGCTCAGATGCATACTCTTCATCCTCTTTATAGAAGGATTTTTAGCTGTGGCTGTACTGTGGAACACAAACAAAAAGGCAGGATGAAAACTACCACGTTTTAAACATGTTGGTTTATGTGTATATTGTTCTAATTCTTGAGAGTTTAGAATATACACACTGAGAAAGCTATAAAAAGTTTGGGAAGTTTTCATCTTTTAATTCCGTTTGTCTATAATCTTTTTTGATGTTCCCTCATATCTTCAAAGTGACCACTAAAGTCCTATTTCTGTTTTAATCTCATTTTAGCAGCAACCAGCTCAGTTTATAAATCCTGAAACTCCTGGCTATGTTGGATTTGCAAACCTTCCCAATCAAGTTCACCGAAAATCAGTGAAGAAAGGTTTTGAGTTCACACTAATGGTTGTTGGTAAGAAGTCCATTTACCAATTTAATAACTTTTGGTTTGTCTTTTTTTTTAAAAATAATCAGTCGTTAGATTTAACAATTTACTAAGTGACTAAATAACATGACTACCCCCTGTTCCCAGACTGGGGAATATAATAGTCTTAGGGTCTAAGATGTAAGATGGAAAATTTTTGATGACAGAATCAAATGACTTGGGAATTTGGGGCACAGGCGTGGGGTAGGGGGTGTTGGAAGTTTTTGCTGAGTGTACATATATATATATATATATTATTTTTTGAAATATATTTTTTTGTGTTACTTATTGCAAGAGATGAAAGTAACCTTTACTCGGCAGTAGCCAGCCTCTGGACCCTTGTCTCCTGGTGCCCAACCAATCCTCACTGAATGGGCTGCCAACGTGCTCCTCTCAATGAGGTGGCGGAAGCACTCTTGTTATGGGGGGCACTGCGAGCACACAGAGGTTCCCCCAGATCTGAAGGTTCTCAAGCTACTTCTGTGTTGTTTGAGCCAGAGGTTCGGGCAGGAAAACTTCAGAGTAGGCTCTGAGGTGATCACGCACGAGGAGCCTTCAACTGGAGGCTAGGGGAAGGCTCCCCCCACGCTGACCCTACCTGGTGGCACCCTGGTGCCTGTGCCGTCAGTCTCACTGCGCCTGGCTGGGCTGCTCAGGGCATCTGGCCTGTGAGGGTTCAAGCGTGTGGCAGGAGGAAGACTCGTCTGGTCAGGTCTCTTCCTGTCCGTCTCTTCTCCCCGGTCACGGCACAGAGCGTGTCCAACACGCATTCCTGGCTCTCCTGTCCACATTCCTCTCTGCATGCGTGTCACATCTGACCTGTGTGCTGCCTGCTGCACCTTTCGCACTCCCTCCCGACAGTGGACCCACTCCACGGGAAGTAGTCATACATGTTCCACGTACATTTAGAGGTTTGCTGTTGAGAAACAGCTGTGGAGTGCTCCAGCTCTGTCAGGAGAAGCTGTGCCCTGGTCGCTCCCTGGCGGTCACCTTCCAGGCAGAGATGATTGTTCTTGTTACCATTCCCACTGGGCTTCAGAGCCACGCAGGCAGTGTTGTACCAGGGCCACCTGCGCCTCTCTCACTCCCTCTCCTGGATTCTCCCAGCAAGGATGGGATCCCCCCGCCTCATCTACAGATGGGGATGCCCGGTCTGGCAAGCGTGCTCACCCTGGTGCGCACCGGCCAGCCGAGACGGAAAGTCTGCTGGGAACTGTATCTAATGAATGGCCTGCGTGAACAGTGTGGGGTTTGTCCATGCCTCTGGTAGCCGGGGTGAGTTGTAGATAGAACGAGCTGGAGATGGAGTGAGCCATTTGGGGTAAGGTCTGAGCCTCAGTGTGGGTGTCTGTATCGTACAGTGCTTGCAGAGAGCAGGGGTTTCCTCAGTGCCTGAGTGAATGCTGTGCCCTCCAGGAGCAGAAGGTACTGGAGGCCAGAAGGGGTGGCTGCCTGCATTGTGGGAGATAGGGAGGTGCAGAGCAGGTGTCCATGTCCTGCCCCGATCGCGTGCTCTGACCCTTCACCCAGTCCCATGGCTTGTTGAATGGATGGACTCATTTTCCTGCAATGTGGTCTGCAGAGCTGGTAACTAAGCTCATTCTGTGTTCCCTAGCCAAAAAGGAAGGCCTGCCCTGGAAGCCCTTGCCCGCAGTCAGGAAGACATGCAGTTGTCTGACCACTCGGCGTGGTCGAGGCCACAGACCCTAGAGGCTCAGGCCCAGTAGCCAGCAGGGACGAGGTGGCGGTGTCCGTGTGCAGGCATTTCGAGGGTGAAGGGCCAGGATGTGGCTGAGAACCAGTGCCTGGGGCACAGGGACCTCGGAGGGCTGACTGTCTGGGTTGTGTGGACATGATTGTGACAGTGTTTTCATTCACACCACAGGTGAGTCAGGCTTGGGAAAGTCCACGCTCATCAACAGCCTGTTCCTGACTGACCTCTACCCAGAGAGGGTCATCCCTGGAGCTGCTGGTGAGCCCCTGCCTGCTCTGCCGGGCTCTGAGTTCAGCTCTCATGGACGCCAGCAGAGGGCGCCAATGTGGCGCTGTGTGTGGCTTGCTGTTGTCTCCAGTGTTCCCATAGACTTTGCAGGGGGCCGGGGAGTTGCAGAGCAGGGTGGTGGCCCTCTGAGCACAGTTTCTACATCAGAAACGGTGGTGAGCAGCCTCTCCTGGGCTGGTGGGCGGACTGAGGAGACGGTTTCACACTTGGATGCACAGTGAAGAGAGGACCAACCACTAAGGCGTGGACATGGTCCAAGTGTTGGACCTTGTGAGCATCCCTGTGTGTTTGTGGGGTGGACCAGGCGTGGCCAGGGCAAGGGCACTCACTCGTCTCTGTGTCAGCTTTTAAATCCTTCACTTCTGTATCCGAGGGCAGAACGACTCGTTTTTTTATCATGGCATCCTCCTCTTCGCCCGGCAGGGTACGTCCATCCTGGCTGGGCCCTGTCCTTGCTGACCTTGGGCTTTGGTCTACACAGGCCTCCCTCCCCACACAGTCTAATGCTGCTCCTCTCAGGCTGACTTTCAAGGTCTGTTCGTGAACAACTCGTTGCTTTACAGAAAAAATTGAGCGGACTGTCCAAATCGAGGCCTCCACGGTAGAGATCGAGGAGCGGGGGGTCAAGCTTCGGCTGACGGTGGTGGACACCCCCGGCTACGGCGATGCCATCAATTGCCGAGACTGGTGCGTGTGCGTGTGGGTGGTGCACGTTTTTAGTGTATGAGTGAGGGGTGGTCACTGCACTGGAG